GGACGCCGGGATGGCCATGGCTGCCAGCGGCCACCAGAGATGGCCACGGGCAGCGGCGGGTGCTGTGACCTGGGGATGCGCCGGCTACGCGGCACTGGGTCACCCTGACCCGGGCACTGAGCGGACTCCTGCTGGCAGTCGGTGTCTGATCCCAGATTTCCACCCGCCCTGATCACACGAACCCTCCCTCCCACCCCACGTCCTTCTCTTGCCCACCCTAGCTAGCCAGGGCTGTGGGGACCTGTGCTAGGGGTAGTGCCAGGAGGGACGGGGTGATCTGGCAGGGGGTCCATCTCGACATGCCCAGGATGCGTCCTGACCTGTGCGCTTGCTGATGACTTCGGCGATGGAGGGGGGGAAGTATCCGACTCGATCGGTGCCTTTCTGAGCATCGTGGATATGTCCCTTCCACCGCCCGTCCGGGTGCTGCTCCAAGACCTGTGGTGGAGGAAGAGGGAAGGGGTTGGCACCCTGGGCTGGATGGTGGGAGGCGAGGGCACCCCCCAAGGCCTTACCGTGATGACATCTCCTGCCCGCACGTTGAGAGCAGTTGGGTCGTGCAGGTTCCAGAAATCCTTTAAAGCTCGGACCTTCAGGATTCCTGATGCCTCTGAAGACAAGGGATGGAGGGAAGAAAGGAGGTGGCAGAGAGCAGGGGGGCAAGAGAAGAGTTTGGAGGGAGAATAGTCCAGAGGAAAGGTAAAGGGGGAAAACAAGCACAGAAAGGGGAGAAGAGAACATTAATATGGCTGGAAGGACTCCATCCCTGAGGATCCCCCACGCCGAAGCCCACGGGAGGACGGCAGCGTGAGGGGTGGTGATGCCCACACTCAGAGCCAGGACAGCTCAGGGCAGCGCAGGAGGATCGGGAGCACTGGCGAGGCCCCGTCGGGACTCCGCTTTTGACACCGTCTGCGGCCTCGGCACAAGCCAGCCCCGTCTCACCTCTCAGTAGCTGCTTGATGTCCTTGCTGGCGTGTGAGGTGGTGAACTGGTTCACGATGTCCAGGGCCGTCTGGTTGTAGGTGTTCCTGATGTTCACGTCCACGCCGCCCTGCCCGGGAGGAGATGCCGTTCGCGCCAGGCCACAGAGCAAACGCTCCCCCGGGACGGCAGCGGCTCCGTCTCCGCTGCAGCACCGTGATCGGCAGCGACCGGCACAAGCGCCAGGCGGACCCCGCAGCGGGGGGGGAAGGAGGCGACGGCCGCGGCGCCTTCCCGCGCGCGCTCACCTCCAGCAGCAAGCGCACCACCTCGGTCTTGCCGTAGAGCGCGGCCTCGTGCAGGGCCGTGCCCGTCTTCGTCTGCTTGTTGATCTCGATCCCGGCTTTCAGCAGCTGCCTGGTGGGAATGAGGAAAGGGAGAGCTGCAGAGCGGGGTGTAAGCTGGGCCATGAGGCCAGCAGCGCTCCGGGGATCCCCTCTGTGCACTGCGGCCTTGGAGATGAGGGGTTGAACCACTTAGAGGGCAGGTGGGTTTGGGAAGAGGCAGGACTGAGTCCCACAAGGGTCTCTGGTGGTGCCTGAGGCGTGTGGGGCAGGGTCAGCAGTGAGGACAGTTACCTGATGATCTCCTTGTGGCCGTTCTTGGCCGCGTGGTGCAGCGGGGTGGTGTAGTTGGGGTCGGCGGCGTCCTTAGACTGGCCCTCCAGGAGGGCGACGCACAGGTGGCTGTTCAGCAGCAGCTGGGCCACCTACGAGGGGGAGACGGGCAGGAAACGGGTCCTGAGCCCCCTGCCCACAGCCACGCGCTCGCCTGCTGTTCGCTGCGCTGCCCTTGGGGCTCCGAGCGCCCCCAGACCCTGTCCTGCCCGTCCCGTCCATCCTGCAGCCCCGCAGCTCGGCCGGACACGGACGGCGCTTGCGGGAGCCCTGCTGATGTGAGGCCACGGGGCAAGGGCTCCCGAAGGTCCTGGCAGCCAGGAATAGGCTTCCCATAATTGGGCTTTCCAGACCAAGCCCTAAAAACCTCCGGTCTCTCCAGGCCCACAGTCAGCATCTCGGGGCAGCCCAGCAGCACAGAGCAGTTATTTTTACTTCCCTGTTTATAGCTGCAGATATTATAGATGCTCCAAAAATGGAAATATCCCCACGGTCCCTGCCCTGGCGGGGCACGGGACAGTCTGCCTGGCCGCGGTGCTACACGGGCTCGGCTGGGGTCTCCTAGGGCACGAGGAGCCCCGTCCCCGCGAACGCCGTGACTCCCGTCCCCGCCGGGTGAGCAGCAGAGCCCAACTGGTGCTCAGGGCTTGTGGGGATCAATGAGCTCAGCCTGCTCCTTAAACGGGAGCAAAGCGGGGAGGAAGTAGCAGAGAACTGGGAATGAGGGCTCCTGGCCCGGCCGGCTGCGGCCCTGCTGTGCGGCGGGAGCGAACCCTGCAGCTCCTGCTCGGAGTTGGGAGGAGGCAGGAGCTGCCAGCAAAGCACCAGGGCCCGGAGAGCAGTGTCGGACGGCCCCAGAGATGCCCCCTCCTGCCGGAGCGGCCCCTTGGTCCCACTGTGGCTCCCGGGAAATGCCGGGCTCCCAGCGCTCACCTTCAGCCGCCCGAACTCGCAGGCCAGGTCCAGGGGGGTCTTCTTGGCCTTGTTGACGAGACAGGGGTTGGACTGGTGCTGGAGCAGCATCTCTGACTGCGGGGAGC